ACTCTTTTTGAAATGACCAGGTGTATGTTTATTGACAGTGATCTGCCTAAAAACCTGTGGCACTATACCATTCAGGAAGCAGCACATACCAGAAACCGGTGCTTTAAAAAGTACTGACAGGGAAAAAGTGTAACTTAGATGCATACGTTTGAAGCAGTGTGTTATGCGTACCAGCAGGACAGGGGAAAATGAGATACTAGGTTTGAGAAAGGACGTTTTGAAGGGTATGACAAGGGAAGCCCCGCCTATCTAGTTTACTACCCCGACAAAGAGAAGGTACAGAAGCACAGACTAGTAAAGTTTATCACCAGCACAACTTGTGATAGCGAGACTCAGACACAGTGGCTAGAACAGGATTCGGAGGAAGACTTTGAAGAAGGAGTAAAGGCCCCACAGCCTAGTGTACTGAGCAAATATGTACAGACTAACGCTCCACAGTCAGCACCAGAGAATGATGGCGAACAGCACCCCATGGTGTCGTCACATGCCTCAGACAGTGGGAGATATCCCAGTAGGGAGCGCAAACCCCCAGAGTACTTGAGAGATTATACTCAGGAAGATAGTGATGAAGATGATAAAACACTCATTAGTATAGATTATTGTTACAGAGCAGTTTGCGGTGTACCTCTGACCTTTAAAGAGGCCATGACCTCGACTGAGTCAGAAAACTGGGGAAAAGCGATGGATGAGGAAATTAAGTCTCTAGAAGACAATCAGACTTTTACCCTGACAATATTGCCAGAGGGCAGGAAAACAGTGGGAGGTAAATGGGTCTATTCAGTTAAGGGAGACGTTGATGGACACGACAAGTACAAAGCTAGGTTCGTAGCAAAGGATACAGTCAGAGGGCGGGGATAGATTACGGGGAGACGTTCTCACCTACAGCCAACCTGAAAGTGTACGTGTATTAATGCAGAAGGCAGCCCAAGAGGATTTGATTTTACACCAGATGGATGTAAAGACAGCCTACCTGCATGCACCCATCGATCACGACATTTACATGGAACAACCTGAGGGTTATGTAAAGGAGGAAGAAAAGCTAGTGTGTAAGCTAGAGAAGTCAATTTACGGCCTGAAGCAGGCGAAATTGGAATACGATGTTGCATGAATGCTTAACAGATGACAATTTTACACAGAACCCGGCAGACCACTGCGTGTACTCCAAGGAGTCTAAAGAGGGGAAAGTAATAATTGCTATCTGGGTCGATGATCTTATCATCGCAGCCAGCAACACCAAGATTTTAGAGAAAGTGAAGAACATGCTTTCCACAACATTTAAAATGAAGGATTTGGGGAGATTTAATCATTTTCTTGGCATGGATTTCAGTCAGTCTGATGGCTGTGTATCACAAAAGAGATATGTGGAAAAGATACTGGAACGTTTTGACATGCAAGAGTGTAGGGTAAGGGAGACACCTTGTGACCAAAAGTTAGAATACACTGAAGATGCACCTAAAATGGTGGATGTGAAGAAATACAGAGAGGCTGTTGGCAGCCTAATCTACATTGAACATTGGGTTACAGTAAAACACGTTTTGCGTTATCTCAGGGCAGGGTCGGCTCTAGAACAAATCTAATGGGGGGGCAATCATTTACCAAGGGGGGGCACACACTGCCGTCAACAATCAACACACAAACACCAACGCAACTTCAATTAAAAAAAAACATGCTGTAAAGTCTATTGTCTTTCACACACATTGCAGGGGTGTAGTGCTATTTTATAGCACACCTATGACTTGTGCAGACATGCACGGTTGTGGCACGACCACCAAAAACAGAAACATATGGACATAGGCCACCATATAAAAAGTGTGCAAATGTATTTAGTATCCTATCCATGTGAACATGTTTTAGGTGGGGGGTGGACCTAACCTCCTCTAGGAGGGTCTGGGGGCATGCTCCCCTGGGAACATTTATTTTTAAATATTGAAGTTAAAAGCATCAATCTGGTGCACTTTGAGAGCAAAGTGGAGAGATCTATGGATAGCCTACATCTTTCAGCATTCATATGAAACAGAACTGTACACAGATGTTCTCTTTCTTTATGGATATTTTACTAATCACTCCCCTTTTAAACTATATTCTTGTGTTACTGTCCTATAGTATTTCATACCTGTTTTTCATTTATTCTCTTATTTTGTAATAACTATAATGATCATATAAAGGTGTTCCTCGCAAATACTTGTTTACATAAATGGTGACCAAACAGTTTGAGACCCACTGAGATAACTTACACTAAAGTGAACTATCTAAACACTGAGAGAGTCCTTACCTCACTGAGCTGAGGTTATACGATCCTCTCAGTCTGACAGGAGAGGACTCTCCTCCACCTTGGTGTAGAAACAGCTCTTTATACCCGTTAGCATAGCTAGCTAACCAGATGCTAACAACAACATTCCACGTTACCGCTCGCGCACTCACAAAATGTGCTCGTGCCACACACACACAGAGCCGAGCTTGAATGAAACACAGAGACCCAGAAGTAATTGTACTGTACTGTATATCATATTATTTACGATGGCTTTACTGTATAATCAGTGTAACAGATGAACAGATGGCCACTGGGCTTTCATCTAAACACACAGCCACAAAACAAAGGTCGGGTGTCATTGGTCAAGCAACACACCAATCAGAGAGCAGCAGTGAGCACACCTCAGACTGTGTTTCATATTTGTATTCTTTATTTCTGATGTATTTCACACAAAAAACCTTTAGTGGAAACGTTTTCACTGATATGATTTATAAAAAAAAAACGTTTGAGCATGAGTAAGGACAGCTCACTAGTCTCTTGGAAATCCAAGAAACAGCCTACAGTAGCGCTTTCCACATGTGAAGCTGAGTATATGGCTCTAGCTCTAACTATACAGGAGTGTATTTACTTGGAACAGCTACTAGAAAGGATAGATACATACATTGTTGCTTTGTTAATTAAATATGAACAGGTAAACAGTAAGCACAAAATTCATAAGTGGGAGTGTTGAGGTATAACGTATAACATACAGAGACATGTATATTGTATGACTCCATGTAATACTGTGTACCATATTGTTTATGTAAGTAGCTGCGACTACTACTGTGTTCATTGGATAGCGCTGTAGCACATGATTGTGATGTCACTACCTGGGTTATAAGACCGTTGGAAGTCACGCCCCTTCTCTCTCTGTCCTTAAATCTCTTGACTTCCATCCATCCATCCATCTTCTCCCGCTTATCCGTGGTCGGGTCGCGGGGGTAGCAGTTCCAGCAGAGAGCCCCAAACTTTATTTTCCCTGGCGACATCAACCAGCTCTGACTGGGGGATCCCAAGGCGCTCCCAGGCCAGCGAAGAGATATAATCCCTCCACCTGGTCCTAGGTCTACCCCTTGGTCTCTTCCCAGCTGGATGGGCCTGGAACACCTCCCTAGACAGGCGCCCAGGTGGCATCCTAACTAGGTGCCCGAACCACCTCAACTGGCTCCTTTCGACGCGAAGGAGGAGCGGCTCAACTCCGAGTCCCTCCCCGATGACCGAACTTCTCACCTTATCCCTGCGGAGAAAACCCATCTCGGCCGCTTGTATCCGCGATCTCGTTCTTTCGGTCATGACCCATCCTTCATGACCATAGGTGAGGGTAGGAACGAAAATGGCCCGGTAGACAGATTGCTTTGCCTTCTGGCTCAGCTCCCTTTTCGTCACAACGGTGCGGTAAAGCGACTGCAGTACCGCTCCCGCTGTTCCGATTCTCCGGCCCATCTCACGCTCCATTGTTCCCTCACTCGAGAACAAGACCCCGAGATACTTGAACTCCTTCACTTGGGGTAAGGACTCATTCCCTACTTGGAGTGGACAGTCCATCAGCTTCCTGCTGAGAACCATGGCCTCAGATTTGGAGGTGCTGATCCTCATCCCAGCCGCTTCACACTCGGTTGCGAACCGATCCAGTGAGTGCTGAAGGTCGCAGACCGATGAAGCCATTAGAACCACATCATCTGCAAAAAGCAGTGGTGCAATCCTTAGTCCACCGAACTGCAGACCCCCTCCCCCATGACTACGCCTTGAAATCCGATCCATGTATATTACAAACAGGATTGGTGACAAAGCGCAGCCCTGGCGGAGGCCAACCCTCACCGGAAATGGGTCCGACTTACTTTCGAGGACCCGGACACAGCTCTCGCTTTGGGAGTACAGAGATTGGATGGCCCTGAGTAGAGACCCCCTCACCCCATACTCCCGCAGCACCTCCCACAGTAACTCCCTGGGAACTCGGTCATACGCCTTCTCCAAGTCTACAAAACACATGTAGACCGGATAAGCGTACTCCCAGGCCCCCTCCAGGATCCTTGCGAGAGTAAAAAGCTGATCCGTCATTCCACGACCAGGACTGAATCCGCATTGTTCCTCCTCAATCTGAGGTTCGACAATCGGCCTGACCCTCCTTTCGAGTACCTTAGAGTAAACTTTCCCGGGGAGGCTGAGTAGTGTGATGCCTCTGTAATTGGCACACACCCTCTGATCCCCCTTTTTAAAAAGGGGAACCACCACCCCGGTCTGCCACTCCTTCGGTACTGTTTCCGACTTCCACGCAACGTTGATGAGACGTGTCAACCATGACAGTCCCTCAACACCCAGAGCCTTCAGCATTTCCGGGCGGATCTCATCCACCCCCGGGGCTTTGCCACTGTGGAGTTGTTTGACGACCTCAGTGACCTGAGGAGGTCTCTTGACTTGTGTGCATCTAATAAATAACGCCGTGATGAATGGCTAAACTTCAACTGCTGCAGAGAGACAAAAGGTATGAGTCTAAATCTGCTAACAGAGCGGTTTCACACACAAAAAAAAGTGTTACTTCACAGTTTTATGACACATTTAATTTTTTTGACTTGCAACATTTTCTTTTAAATTGACAAACATCATATATGTAATTCGTGGCACAATTCAAACGGGATCGAAAGATAATCTTTCTCTCGCCATTGACTTAAATACATACTTTTTCCAAAATAAGGTCCCATGGAGGTCCCCCAGAAAGGGAGGGACTTCGGCTCTCTATAGAGTGGCGAAGTACCTCCCCTTCCGGTTTTCAACAGTTCTATACCAAGAAATATTATGGTTGATGGTCGCAAAAATCAGGCAGTGTTGGTCTTACATTTTTCGCAGACAGGTCCCCTACCACCTACTTAAAAAAATGTCAATATAGTTGTTTATAAAGACTATTACAAGTAACATTTACTTCAGGATGCTTTAGTATCTTCTGAAAGCAATTAAGCACTTGTACTCACAAAAAGACTAACTAGACTTCAAATCTAAATATTAGATTAGAGTAAGGTCTGCAGTTTCTGCAGTGTGGGTAATGTAGTCAGAAGGTCATCACAGCTGGAACAGTTGAGGTGTAGTTTGAAGAGTGCACATTCCTGAAAGAGAACATTACTTTTAGCTCAAATGTCTTTAGACGTTTTAGTAAAGCTAATTAACACACACATACTTTTAATGCAACAACAACAGCAGCATTGCTAACTGACAATAACATTGACATATAAGACATTAAGCCTTCAGGATATCTTGAGAAAATGGGAAAGCACAAATTATGGTATGGAAACAGATGTTGCCTCTACCGGAGATTGTTGGTTCTCATTCAGGGTGAAAATGTAATGTGGCTTCATTTACTAAACTTTTAAAAGTGATTGACATATTTTGTAGTTGCTCCATCCTGGGTTAGGATTACGGAGCTTACACATGGCGGCGTGCGTTGAAGCTTCAATGCTTCTTCCCATTCACTTTGAATTGGGTGACGTCACGCTTCGGCCGAACTGCATTGTGAGAGCAAAGCGTAACGACGGAAGCGTCAGCCAATCGAATCATATGCCAGTACAAGCTCTTGCCAATCAAACCGCTGCTTGTGTGTCCGGGGCAGGAGATTCATGTGATTGGTTGTTGGTCGAGCGTCAGACATGCCCGCCGGCAAGCTTCAACGCACCCTATGCTGGGACTCCCAGCAGCTTCTACTGAAGCCTTCCGATCCATTTATATAAAATCCTGTCTGAAAATCAGCTGATCAGATTTTGGCCACTTTATGATGTGATAACGATTTTTTGGCTTGTGTAACCATTTGCCAATAACCAACCAAGGTAACACCCCCCCCCCCCCCTTATCACCTAAATCTCCTAGAGCACCATTGTGTTTCTCTTAACCAAATATCTAAGGGAGTGGCACCTTATTTTCATCTAAAGTAAAAGACAGAGAATCAGCACTTTTGAAACAGGGCTGAAACAGAGGGGTTTATGGGATGCTACAATGCATGATCTGTTTGGTATTTCAGCCAAACACTTCAGAGATGTTTTGTATATATCTGAGAACTATAATATATTTATGAAAAACAGTATAATTGGGGACCTTTAATGTCATAAACTGATGTTCTGTTAAAGGCCTGTTTCTGCTACTTCTAATGAGTCAAAAGAGGAAATCTCAGTAAATGCAGCATCAGAAGAAAAGATTACTACTCAAATTAGACAGTTGAGATGATTTGTGGCACCTGAAAGCATTCCAAGTGAAAAAAAATAAAGGCAAGAAGAAGAATAGAGGTAGGGGTCAAACCTGTTCACATTGACAGAGATGATACTCTTGACAGGTACGCTCTTGGGACCAGGAGCCGGATAGAACACTGGCTCCTGAACAGTTTGTTTGGATCGGCGGAGGGCGTATGGATCAGCAGAATGCATGGGGTAGGAGCCAAACGTCCCAGCTTTCATTCCTCCTATCTGACACAAGATAGAGCCACACAAATACACAGATACATGTGAAAAAGTTAAATATACAACAGATATATCGCGGGTTAAAGAATGGCCACTTGGCCAGAAACAGTTTTTTCCCTCTGACCCTGCAGTGGTTTGCAGACGGAGGAATTACCTTTTTGTTGGGGGACGGGGGCTTGAAGGGGACTACAGAAATCTTCTGGTCAGATGGGAGGGGCTTGTTTGCGGGTGGGAGGGGCTTGTCACTGCGGTATGGGTTTCCTTGGAAATAATCTCTTGGATGGAGGTTGAGTCTGAAGGGGCCATCTTTTAACTTGGAGTGATGGATTGCTGCCTCCTTCTGTACCATACACAAACACATTAACATGTATTCTTAACTCAAGGTTGAAAATATATTTCTAAATTGATGTAAGTAGTTCTTATTAAAGCAAATGTTTATAATAAAATGGTAAAAATGCGTAATTCACCGTAATGTCTTTACGAAGGATTTCTATGAAATAATTTTACTTTGTCACCATCCAGTTTTAATGAAGCTTTTGTTTCAAAGCGTAAACTGCTCCACATGGGAGGTTTACAGACAATAATAACGGTACACATTAGGATGGTCGACATGGCCACAACTTTATATATGTATGTCATTTTATAGGACAGGGTATATGTCACCTGGGGAGCTAACTGTCGCTAAAGCAGGAAAAGAAACAAAAATGATACAAACTTTTTTTGACAGAATTGCTACCTTGTCCAATAAAAAAGGGATAAGTTAGAAACAAATAAGACAAATGTCCTTGAGCATTTTTTACAACTGACTACAGTAAAGGCAAACTTAATAAACCTGCCAAATAATTTTTCTAACCTCCTGACTTATTTACCACCACATCTGATCAGCTGATTGTCTAGTTTGTTGCCCCCTCTGACTTCTTTATAGAAAGTTGTTGTGTTACCACATCCATCAATGTCAGTACTTTGGTGAATATGGTATTATAATAACCAAGATAAATAATCTCCGAAACTAAAAAGTAATATAAGGCCCAAAGGTATAACATAGTAATCCAGAATTATTTTAAAAGCGTTACCTTTAGAACTTCTCTGGTTCTGCTGTACGGGTCGGACGAATACAACTCAATTCTGGACAGAGTCACATTGGGATAGCTGCAGGAGAAGTGATAGGTTAGCCATAGCATCCTTAGAACTGTTCGTGATATTCAATCAAATATGTTTGAGTTGACGGTTTATAAGAAAAGAAAAGGGCACACTGTAGTATCTTAGTTGTTCCAGAGTATACAGAAAACAATAAGTTACATTATGCTGTGCTTATGTAAGAGTTCTTGCCATAAACCTGTAACCACTGCCTTTCTTGGAGGGGGAGGTGACGATGTTGCGTCCAGGAGAGCGGTGGGCTTTCTGTGTGACTGACAGCGGACTCATGGCCTCCAACGGTCCTGACAGAGTCCCGTAGTAACTGCCTGACCCACAGCTGGAGGGAGACGATACGACCGTGAGAGGACTCATGCATGTATATGTGTGTGTTATTGTCTGTGTGTGTGTAATCTCTCACGGCTGTGTGACTCTGTTACAGGGCAAGAAGGCCTTGCCCAGGTTCTTGTTGTTCTGCTGGTTGCGGTTCTGTCGGGCCAGTCTCACAGGGTCACTCAGAGCTTCTCGCTCAAATATCCGTTTGAAGGACTGATCGAAGAAGCCGTTCTGTAGAGCACATCGCTGTTTAGAAACCCCAGCCAGCATCTGTCTGCTGCGGTGGGCCGACTCATTAAAAGGACCTGAATTTCAGATGAAAGACATGAGATCTACATGTACCCTTGTGTCTTTAGAGATGCAAATATACATATTAATATAACTTTGCTACAATGTAGGTAGCGGTGTTCATGTTGTATCACAATTGAAAAGTTGGTAAGTTTACGCAACACAGACTTACACAAAATGTGTAATAGCTACTGTGGTCCACAGGGCAAAACGCAGAAGCCCCCCAACCGGGGTCACATATGTTCGCATCAATCAGTTATACTGTATTCGTTTTAGCATTATTAGACCTGGTATGAGCAGCAATCCAAGCTTTTTTCCAATAGAGTGGCGAAGTCCCTCCCCTTCCGGGGGAGCTCCATGGGACCTTATTTCAGAAAAATGATGTATTGAAGTCAATGGAGAGAGAAAGATTATCTTTCGATCCCATTTTAATTGTGCCACGAATTACACATATGATGTTTGTCAATTTAAAAGATAATTTTGCAAGTGAAAAAAAAAAAAGATGTCGTAAAACTGTGATGTAACACATTTTTTTGTGTGAAACGATCAATGAACTACATCTCTGGTCTCGCACAACAACACACGTCACCAAGATGACCGTCACTACTGTCAAAAAAGGGATTGACTACCCTCACTATCAGAAGAATGTCATGCAAAGCTGTCTGCCTTCCTTTGATTCTCTCTGAACTGCCTGGTCTTTTTAATGTTTAATGTCAACCATTTGTGCAGATAGCATGAAGTAGAAAAGATTGCCGATGCTAATATAGCGTTAGCGTTAGCGTTTCTCCCCCGGGCTTAAATTGTGTATTATAGAATGATAATACTCTTCAAAGGGTTCACGAAATATGACTACTACTCTTACTGTTTAACATGTTGGGTTACTTGATGTTACTTCATGTTAAGGCTAATACAAATGACAAGGCTAAGACTGTAATGCTAACTAATGTGCTTGCTACTAGCTGGGTAGCTAACTTGATCCAGACACTCCTGGTCCTTTCATCAGACGGGAAGCGAAAGAACGAGCAAGACCCATCTCTTCATTGACTTCAATACATAATTTTTCCGAAATAAGGTCCCATGGACCGGAAGTAGATGGGCGTGACTTCGCCACTCTATCTGAAAGGTCAGTCTGCAGGCTGTCCTTCCATGTATATGTGAATTCTCAAATTAGAAAGATTAGAGCATATTGTAAAACTCTGATATGAAAAACTGTCCTTAATCATCATTGTTGTTGTCTCCTAAGGGCATCATTTTGATTAGTTGATTAACTAAGCTTGTAAGCTGGAGGTATTTAAAGAAATGTTTTTTATCAAGATTGAATGTACACCTCATCTCATCAAAGGACGTCATGACATTCGAGTCTGCCAAATAAAGGCAGATCATTTTGAGTCCCTTTGACTCCAATCATTGAAAGTTGCGTCTGCACAAAAGAATGAACACCCCATACTGGACTGTATGGTGATAATGTATGTGGTTCTTTGAAATATCTTTCACATCATACAAGATCTTTATCATTTGTTTTACAATTTTGTATTTGTTTGCTTAAGTTTCTTACTGTATCTGAATACATAAGGGAAGAGGTAGATTCAAACTATGAGATTCCATTTCAGTCCAATGAGGAAAACATAGAACATAATAGTTCTCAGCTGCACAGCCCAGTAATACCACATTACATTTGGACACTGTAACCCTCCTCCATCCAGGCCCGGTTCCAGAACAAAATGACTCAGGGCGCATCTGAGATTAGAGAGGGTGCAGTGGTAAAGTGCTATTTTTATAAGTGGGGAGTGGACCTAACACCCTCTTGGGGGGGTCCTAACCTCCTCTAGGGCGGTCCGGGGGCATGCTCCCCCGGAAGATTTTTTTTAAATATTGAAGTTAAAAGCATCAATCTGGTGCACTTTGAGAGCAAAATTAAGAGATCTATGGATCTATGTGCTTTTTGCTTGATTCATGCCTTCCCAGTCCCTTATCACGTACAAGAGCATGGCGCCAGTTGTTGTAGCCAGTTGTGGTGAAGGCAGGGGCGGCGGGTACTTTAGGCTAGGGAAGGCTAACGGCCCGTCTACACTACAGGCATCAAAAAATCTTGAAGCTGGGTGTGTCTGAGGCTTGGCGATTTCTCGCGACCAAGGCGACCAACAACCAATCACATGAATCTCCCGCCCCCGGCATACAAAGCAATAGCAATGTTAAAACGAAGTAAACTGGATATAAAATCCCCAAACAGGCGAAAACCTACCAGTTTCACCTACTGTCTCTGCCACCTCCCTCCATGCCTCGCTCCTCCGATTTATATCCCGGTAGATGAACAGAGACTGATCATACAGCACCGGGTGATTCACTACCGCTATAATGAATTTTCCCTCCATTTTTTTTAATATGAGGAAATGACCTGCGTAGTCTCTCCCAGCATACACGCGGTTTGATTGGCTAGCGCTTGTACTGTCAGATTTGCATACGCGGGATTCGATTGGCTGATGCCAAGCATCGAGCCTCAAAAGTTGAACATTGTTCAACTTTTGATGCCGATAGATGCTCGTGATGCTTGCAAAGCCATGCCATGCTCCCCACAATGCAGTTCGGCAAAGTTTAAAAATCTTCTACGTCACCCCATTCAAATGAATGGGCGAAGCGTTGAAAGCATTTTTTGATGCCTGTAGTGTAGACGGGCCGTAAGCCTTCCCAAATATTTTTTTCACTGCATCCTGGTAAAATTAAAATATAATGTATAATGTTTGTGTCTTTGACAAATTTTGGCTGCTATGCAGCCACCAGTAAACTGTACTACGAAGCCAGTTCAACATACCCTGGATATGTTTGAGTTATCTTAACTAATCCTAACAAACCAGATCTCGCTATACGGTCCTATGACGCTGGTTATCAACTCAGTAAATCAACCCAGGGTTTCTCTGTCCGGCTGAGAGCGCGTTCAAGGGGCGGGGCTAGCAACATTTGACCAATCATCAAAAACATAGACAAGCGTACTGACAGCGCAGCGTCATACTTCATTAATGAAAATGAAACTATAATATTAGACAAATATGAAGAAGTTAAACTTTAAACATCCATGACTTGCGAGTGTTTCAATGCGTAGGCCTACATTAACAGGTTTATGATATCACTGCCTCATCTAAGACACGAGTGATCTGACTTAATAATTAACATAATTACATTTGAGTTGAGTGTTTCGTCAACTTAATGTGTTGCTTAAAATAATACTTCTGCATAGGCTATATGTTGGTAAGTGTTGCACAGCCAGATACGGCTCGAGAAGCTGACTCAGATAAGGAAATATATGATATATTATGATTTTTGATTATAGCTCGCGTTATTAACGCGTTAACTTGACAGCCCTAATATATATATATATATAATATATATATATATATATATATTATATATATATATATAATATATATATATATATATATATATATATATATTATCTATATCACTATCAGGAGTCTAACCAAAGAATATGTCTCTCACAATAGAAAACAAAGAACCACTTGTTGACACTGAGTCATCTACAATCTGCTCGTTCATTTCACAAATGAGTCGAGCTGGAGGTTTAACAGGTCTACCTGCCCTAGTGCAAAGTGGAAGAGGCTGCATGGCCCTGTGTGAGTGCACCTAGTTGTGTATCTGTTGTAGGGCTGCACGATATTGCAAAAAACTGACATCGCGATTTCCCCCGCCCCCTGCGGTATATATTGCGTTTTTTTAACCTGTTAAGCCCCAAAGTCCCGGCGGGTACTTTACTTTTTTTTTTCACAACACTGTGTCTCAGGGGATCTTGATATTTAAGAACCTATTAATGTGTTATACCAGATTAACGGAAATAATCTCAGCTAACTGACGATACAAACCATTTTTACCAAAACAAAACACAAGTCTCATAAGAAGCATCTAAATGACCCCTGAGCGAAGAAATCAAGATAAAAGTACCCTTATTACTTATCGTAGCTGCACATACAAGATATCCGATTAAAGCTGAGGTTCCACAGATTATTTAGGTATTCTTTCACACACAGTGACGTCACGAGCTACCCACAATGCATCACGCACCATATATATATATATATATATATAAATACGCCATTTTCCTGGAGGTGCAAATATCCTGGAAGTGCAAATATAAACAGCTAGTTAACGTAGCCAGGCAGAGCGCACTAGGTTTTTTTTCTGAATTAACGACCGAAGAAATCGCTGCATGTCTTCGGATTACATCTTTGGACTTGAGGGGTGTGCTTTAGGTCGTTACCAGCGTAAACTAGAGCTGTGTGGGTTGTCGGATTGCCCTTACAGACTGCCTGCAGATGTATGGAAAAACGACAGTGGCCTTTGTCGATTTTGGCTGCATCTACGTCTAATTTCTGCAAACACCAGGTGAATACCCCACTTGTCACAATAATATTATCATGCCATTGCATATATGTGGTATTTTAGAGGTGACTAGATATTGATTAAGGCAATAGACTATGATATTCAGTACAGGAAGCTTAGCAACACCTAGACGGTGTACGGCTGCTTGCACCTCGCGTAAAACGGCGGATACCGGAAGTACGGTGTCGCCCTCGGCCCAATACCCGTATGTGTGTGTGAAAGAATATAGTATCATCACTGAGTGATCCGAACTCGGACAGGGGAAGCAAACACAGACATCACAACACGTACCTTTACGTAGCTTCTAGGGGAGATGTATCACTGTAGCTGTCAATCTGATCAAAAGACGTGTTCAATGGCATTAAAACGAGAAAAAACGCTGCTGAATCGGTTAATCCATAGGTTTTTAACTTCTCTGTATAAAAAAATGATTTCATTTATAATCCATAATTCCATTTTTATGTAAAAATCGCAGAGCAAAAGTTAGCTGCTAATGGTAGCCACCAGAGTGGCTGCTGCTTCCGGTCTTGGCTATGCGGCGGTCCAGCGCAGTCTAACACACACACATTACCAAATAAGGAGTGAGAGTGACGCGTAGCCAAAACCGGAAACTGCATACACTCTGGTGGCTACCATTAGCAGCTAACTGTTGTGCTCCAATTTTTACATAAAAATGGAATTATGGATTATAAACAATTGCTTCAAAGCCACAGATACATTATCAACCTATGGATCAACCGATTCAGCCGCGTTTTTTCTCGTTTTAATGCCATTGAACACGTCTTTTGATCAGATTGACAGCTACGGTGAGACGATCTCCCGTAAAAGCTCCGTAAAAGGTACGTGTTGTGATGTCTGTGTTTGCTTCCCCTGTTGCGAGAT